ATTCTATAGTACTATTCTAGGTAAAATAAGTAACTAAATATACGTAATACAGCTAATTAAAGTAATTTAATATCTTTTTAGGTGCTTTTAGCTCTATATTAAAATGCTTTACTCTATTATATGAATTTAGAACGCCTGCGCTACTAATAGACTAAAAAGATATAAATAAAGGTAAAATTTTAATTACTATGTCTATGTTCTGCTAAAGAAAAAAAATACTTTTTACGATTAATTTATTAATAATTATAAATTCAGAGTAAAGTGCTTAACACAGCTAAAATTATAGTATTATAGCAGAATAGCTGTATGCTTATAAATATTTATAATTAGCTTTACTTATAATTGCTATAATTGTAGAGGACAGTAAGCTAGTAAATAAGAGCGTAGCCTAAGCTACGCTTTGCTTTCTAGTATAATATACTAAACCTTTAGTAAAGCGTTTTAAACTACTAAAGAGTTTATAGTAGTTCTTTTAATTATAACTTTTATAGCAAGTAAAAAATATTTAGCTAGTTGTACACCTACTACTATATATAAAACTCACTTCAAGCTTCCTACTAGCTACAGTTAACTATTAACTATATATTAATATTTAAGTTAAGTATAATAACGTAGCAGATTACGTTATACACTAGTAGTTAGTAGTAATTATTCTGTTTTAGAAGATACTTTTCTAGATATTAAACAAGTGTAAGGAACTAGACTGTTCTAGTAATTTCTAGCTTAGAATAGCCCGGAATAGCCTTAAATACCTCTCCCCCCACTATCGTGGCTTGATAGCGATTCGTCTCTAGTCTATGACTAACAATACTATCATTCACTACGAGGAAGTGTGCATCCAGTATTATTATCTCTATTGTTTAGCAATAAGTACGTATCACTTCTCTAAACCTCTATTATACCGAGTATAAAGTACTAAGTTAGCGCAGATATATATTTAACGCACAGGGATTGTAATCTTTTCTAATTTCCTTCTATCCTTGACTGTAAAGTTTGAAGAAGTGCGTCTAGACTCCTCTGATCTTCATCAAAATTCTCCTTGTGCGCGTTCACAGGAAATCCTTCCTTAAGCCAAGAATACAACACTCCATCGTCATGCCTCGGCTCTGGCCAGTGCGTAGGCAAGATTCCGTTGTCAAAGCAAATGTATCGTTGGAAAAAGACCTCAGTGGGACAATTATCGCGGTTTGTGATCTTGTATTCTGGGTCTTCATATGAGTTTCCATAACCAAAGCGAAAGTCGATAAGGTTCGTAAGATCTCTCGCGATGCGATCCAAAAACTGACTCCATCTCCCGCCGTACGCAAAGTCCTTGTCCCAATCGTGATCTTTGGGATCCGACAAGCTGGTCCAGTCTTGCGTCCGGACCTTCCACTGATTCATATTGTCAGAATCGATGCGAATCCAAGAAGCAATCATACAATTGTGGAAGATAAGCCTTCGCAGCGACTTGATAGCGAGGATCCAGTTGAGATCGTCGTCGTGCGCAAGCGTGTAATAGCCCAGAGCAAGTGTCTCGAGCTTTGGGAAAGAGATACCACTCGGGTCAAAGTAGCCAGGAAAAGGGCCCCAATTATCTGATGCACTATAGATAGACAGTGCTTTTAGATTCGGAGCAACAGGCTTTAGCCAATGCGAACAGAAGTACGCTGGGAAAATCTGCAGCTCGACTTTGGTGTAGTCGTGATCTGGCCCATGCTCGTTGTATTCTTGCACCATAGTTATATGCAGCTCTTCTAGCTGAGCCATAACATCGCGAAAGAGGTCAGAGGAAGTGAACTCAGGAATGGGACAGTTCTGAAGGTTGATGATTGTCAGCTTCCGAATTGTCCGATTGTTATCGTCTGCCGTCCTGTCTTTGATGGCCTGGAAGATGAGCGTTAACCTTTCTTCGCGATCAGATACATCCTCTTCCACCTCCTGCCAGTAGTCGGCATCCCGACCCATGCATTCTGGAGTGAAGCCAATCTCCAGAGAGTCAAGGTTTGGAAACCTTGATAAGGCGGCAAGGGCGTCATCGAAAACCAGAGCATCCTCATCATCCTCATCGACCTCGATAGGCTCTCTTGTGTGGCCTAGTCCATGGTCTTCGATATCTGGATGTGTGTGGATGATTGCATGTCGAGGCATTCGCCTGATGACATCATCCTGGCTGATCGTGTTCCAAGATCCAATGTGCCCTTCCGACGGGGAAATATACACCTCTTTGAAAAGCTCTTTAGCTGCGTGGTCGTCCAACGCTTTACAAGCGAGTCGAACATGGGATAGGTCCTTTTTGTTGTCGACTTGCTTGATAACGTTGGCTACAAGCTCAGGAGCTAGGCGGAGGATGTCGAAATTGTGTGGCGACGACATGATATAGTATGCTCAATGATGATTGCTGGTCATAATATAACCTAATGTTTTTAATTGATGGAATCGCGCCTTCATGCGCTACTTGTAATCGAAGGCATTCAGGGGAAATTTGCGGATGCTGAGATGTTACTAAGCTTCTGCCTGGAACTTTCAGGCAATATTCGACGCCATTCCCAATCGGGAGTTCGGGGCCTTATATCCAGGCAGCACAGGAGTGCGTAGACGTGCTAAAGTAGTTATGATGGAATTCGACGATAAAGAACCTGCGCTCAGATTCCACAAGGGAGACCAAAAATGCCGCAATGCCAAGTCTGTCTCGGCCTAGAATATGGGCAAGGTCGAGGCAGTCCTGTTGTGCCGTCACTCAGCCTATCGAGCGTTTCCATACGGACTACGCTGTGACTGCAGTATACATTGTCGTCATTTTGATGCCGACCATAGCAGTGCGACTGTCATGATGGGAGAAGGCATCGCTGAGGAGGGGCTATTTACCGCGAAATTTCGATTTACGGCGATAGAGAGAGTTTACGCAATGCAGGCATCCGATTTCCTACCTCATCATCTGTAGACTAGAATCAAGTGTCAAGAAGCAATTAGCATTATGGATGCTGTCCATCTAGCGGGAATTGTAGGTAAGCTCGCTTGTAATAGTGCAGTATTCTTTGTTGTTTTTCATGTCGTGCCACATTTTCAATGTATGCTCATGCGAAGCTTCATAGCTACTCCTCAGATTCTAGGTTTTCATCAACGCCGTACTCTTCTACGATCCATGCACAGAACCTCTCCCATTTACTCACCCACTCCTTCAATCTCTGCGCGCGCACACCCTTTCCAAACATGCCATCCTTCACATCCTGGGTCCAATCCTTCGTGCTGTAATCGTCCAGACTCGCCCAACGAACGCTGTTCTCTGCCAAAGATCCCAAACCCTCCAAGCCGAGATTCTCCCACCCCTGTAGCGCTTGCCAGAAATCGTGCGACATACCAGACAGCCCTTGGCCAAGGATGGTCGGGTCGTCGTTGCAAAGCGAGCATGGAACGCCGCGAGCTAGAAGCGCGGGTAAAGGATGGGACATGATGCTCCCACATAGCCGCAGTACTTCGTTAGATACCGGGCAACTCTCCACTAGGATTCTCTTCTCTTTCACCATGTCGATGAGTAATGGATGCTTGTAGAGACTAAAGCCATGTCCAATGCGTCTTGTGCCCAAGATGATCGCGTCGAAAAGGTTTTCATCAGTCGAATCGCCATCGCCTAGCGTTTCACCGGCATGGAAAAAGAACGGTATGTCGACACCCTCTTGAGCGCAGGCCTTGCGGAACCAGAACAGTTCAGGAGCAAGATCAGAGAGCGGACGGCCTAGATCTTCCTGGCCAACCAGGTCATAGCCCGCGATTATCTCTGGGAACTCTAGTTTCATCTCTATGCATTGTTTCATACCTATGGACCATCAGCTTGATAACAGAACACGTTTTGGTCACCTTGAAGGGAAGGCTAATGTTCTTAGGTGATGTCAGACTTACTCTCGATAACCTGCTTCTTCCCAAATTGTCTGATTGTGGTCCAGATCATCCTTGCACCCCAGAACTCTTTGCCCTCTTCGCTTGCCTTGAACTTTTCAATCTCATCAGCCAAGTGCTCGAGCATATTAAACCAATCTTCATCCCAGTTCTCCTTCTTCGCACTACGGTAGGGCGTATAGAAAGCTGAGCGTAGATCGACATAGTATACGCCGTCGTCGACCAAGGCTTTGCACATTCTGCGGATGAATTTGCGGAAAATAGGCTCATAGTAGATCAGGGATCCGAGTATAGGAAAGCACGACATGAACTTGCGCCACACTTCGTTGGGCCCCTCATGGTGGGAGAGGTGCTCGGATGCAGTGATGGTGACGCGGGAGCGGATCCACTCGATAAACGCTGCTTTTCCACCGTCTGGAAAACTGTCTGCGGCTTGATTCACGGGTATTGGGGTCTTGGCAGCGTAGCCGTCGTCCCAGATCGACATTTCGGTTTTGGCGTCTTTGGAGTAAGTGAAAGAGAAGCCGGTTTTGCGCCTGGTCTGGCTGTCGGTGATCGGGCCATCAGCAACTACGCAAATACCTTCGGTATTGAGAGCTTCTTCGATGGCCCAGTCAAGGTCGACCATGGCTTCCAAGTGGCAATGCAGTAGTGCGCCCTTTGGCATCTTCTTGATGATCTGCCATAACTTGCTCTTCTCCATGCGCTCTTTGGCAAGCGAGAACATCATTCCCGGGAAGACATCGACATGATCGGTCAACAGGCTGTCCTCATAATCTTTAGTCCAAAGCGTTTGTTGCTCCTCGAAACGGATCTGAGAGACGATAGCGCACGCTTCCTGGGCCATAGGCGATAGATTTTGGCGAAAGAGGTAGTCTGAAGGTTGTCAGACCCATATGAATGGCGTGTTCATGTGATCACTTTTGGGTCACCAACCACTTCGTTGTCTCTTCTCTTGCTGCACCAGTGCATCTCGGCCTTGGAGGTATTGTTGGATGAAAGGGTCGCTTAGGCTAGGGACGCCTTCGGCCTTGGCCCATTCATCGTCGTTTGCAGCATCATTTGTCGCCATGATGATTTTTGTTCTTGAGATGGAGGTCGAAGAGAACAAAGGACCGAGAATGCTGATGTATTAGAGTCACGTCGAGTGTTATCGGTGAATTCCGCGACTTCCTTCCTGAACGGCGCTAGCCGAAGCTGACGTAAAAGGGCTCTAGCTAGTGCCAAGAGCGGCGGGATACGGAAAAAAGGGCAAAGGGCACTACAGCAGCCAGAGCCCGCTGGAACAAGTCAATGTACGCTTCTTTGCGCCGCAGCGACGACTTCACACGAGCGCGCAATCACTGTGGCGAGTGTTTCGGTGACTGCTCGCGCTCTTGACGCGTTGCGGCCTGCTTATCGATTGCTTAGTGCGGCCCTGATGCATGCGCGGGGCCGTAGCGGGTGACGGGGTGGTGCTGCACGGTCGCCTGCAATGGTATAACACATCATCTGCTACTTGTACGCACCTGGGACCTACGCGCTAAACCTCGGAACCTCGCCCTGTGATCAACCACGTCTTTTTTTGCCACGGGAACCTGCACCCTCACTAACCCTGTTGCTGATGCTCTTGCAGTACACCTTTCTCTAGAACTCGGACCTCTGCACGTTCTCGAACCGCGGCTTGTCCAGGAATTAGACTTGGCAGGCACCACTCTCTCCCTTCCTCTGTCTCTGCATCGCTGTACAGCTAGAGCGAAGACATCTCGCGCTCCGATATCGTTGCACGCGCTACGAAACGGCACCACCCACCACTCATGGAGCCTCTTCTCTCGTAACGATAGGCGTCCGACCGGCCTACAGTCAAAAGATCCCTCAACCCAGTCGCCAGCCCCCCGACCGCCATGGCCTTCTTCTCCGGGCTCTCGAGCTCCATCGGCCGCCGGCTGCTTCTCTATGGGTTGCGCCACATCGACATATTCGACAAGGACCCTGCCGACTTCGTGAGCGTTGACGTGGGAAAGCGGACTACACTCGAGGTTCGGGACGTCGGCCTACACATCAAGGTGCGTGCTGGAGATGCGCGCTCCGCCCGCAAACTTGACTAACATGGCCTCATAGAAACTCGTCACACTATTACATCTCAAACTCCCTCCCGAAATAAATCTATCGAAAGCGCGAGCCTCCCTACTCCGAGTCACCTTCGTCCTCGACTTCGGCGTTCCCCAGATATCAATAGAAGTGGATGGCATACAAGTCCAGGCACAGCTGATAGAGGACGTGGGAGATGCCTCCTCATCTCCTCCCGGCCAGCAACACAACCCTTCACGATCCTCGCCACCTACGGAACCAGCTTCGACTTCCGCTACCTACAACGACCAGAGCGATAGTGGTTCTGACGACGATGACGAACATGTGCCGACAGTAGACGAGTTGGCCAAGTCCTTCATGAAATCGGAGCCTGCCGAGGAGATTCGTGAGCTGCAGCAGGAGCTAGCCTCCCAGTCAGAGTATATGCAAGAATCTGTCTCATCTAGTGACGATGGTGACGAAGCTTCTGCGGGCATCGGCGCTCCCCTGGCGCTCCCGACGTACCTGCGCAACATTCTCAATACTGCACTAGATCGCCTGAGTATCACCGTAAATGACATCGATATAGAAGTGGAAGATCACTTTGCGAAGAACACCCAAGATGCAGCAAAGCTAAATCAGAACTCTCCAGTATCTCTCAGCTTCCACGTCGAGCGCATAGCGATTGATTCAATAACTTCCAAAGACATGCGCGTCGAATTCGCGTCAGCAGCACCGTCACTCGATAACACCAAGCTAGGTAAGCGAAGAATGCGTGTGGAAAACATCTGCGGGCGCTTGGTATCTGATGTCGAGAACTACGCGTCTTCATCGGGACTATCACAACCATTGTCTCCGATCACAATCCGATCTGAAGTGTCAATGAGCCAAGAGACCGCCAGCAACCCTGCAACGAGCAGTGTACAGGGCCTACCTATGCATTGTAGCCAATCTGCTGAACCAAGTCAGTTCGTACAGTCTAGCCAGTTTATGCAAGAGGAAGGAATTAGCTCCACGCAATTGCCGGTAGACGAAGAGATGCTTTCTAGTTCAAAAGCCTCGCTGACGCAAGGGGACGAGACATACTCTCGCGAAAGGACTGTGTCCCCAGAGCATCCTAAATCTCCTGAACCGACAATACTGGAATCCTCTGTACATACCGTAGACGACGATCGTTTTGCAGATGCTAATTCCGATGATGGCCTGGATCTGCGTGCTGCGGGTGGCTTACCCGATCAAACTGATCGACTTTCACCTGTGCATGGTCTGGATGGAAGCAGCGTACTTTACGACGACGAAGGCTTGCTTGAATACGCCATGCAGAATAATATGCTCGACCCCCAATTCGATGACACGCCGGAAATTGGACGACCGTCAGAAGATAGAACTTGGGGGCTGGACGGTGCAAGCTCAAGTCGGTACACCCACCATTCAGGGGCCGCTAGCGATGCCTCACTATCGGACTTGCCTACTGTGTCTGCTCTCGGCCGCTCTTTTCATGTGCCAAGTTCGACCCACTCCCCGGCTGAATCGAGGCACGGTGAAGCAGCCTCCTCCTATACTGACAATCTAGCTTCAGCGAAAGAGCACACAGATGAGGAAGCGCAAGTCTCTTTCGATCGTCCACATCAGCAGTTCGACTCATCACCATCACCATCACCATCACCATCACCTGAAGAAGACATGGCCGAGTCCAAATATTTCACGCACGATGAGGCCGAGAGCATGTATATGAGCGCTGTAAGCGGAAACGCAGGCGATAGCGCCCACCCGGCGCATGTACCTGGAGGCTGGGACTCATCCTCAGTTTCCAGCAGAGATTCAAGTTCAGATACCTCTAAATCGATACCACAGGACATGATATCAGGGAGCATACTAGCGCCTTTGCCCGAGACAGACGAAGGTTGCGAGACCCCTCGCCCGAGAAGCCGACAGAGTTCAATCTTACTGCCAAACTTCGATCGTCCATATACCCCTAAGCCTGACGCTTCCGCTTTTCGAAAACAAGCGAGGCGTTTCCTCTCCATCGATGAGATTACTGTCTGGTTTCCTCTAGTCCTTGACGATGAAGAGAGCAGCGGCGATACAAATGAAGGTACCACGCAGACAGTAGGACTGGACTTCAAGCCTTCCAATTTGGGTGAAGATTCAATCTTTGCCGAGATGCCGGGGTCGTTCTCCAACTATGCCTACGCTTCCTCACATCGACAAAAGCCCTCGTTAGATGCATCATCTCGCGGACGACCCACTCCGGAAGCACCACACGCACCCCAACCACCAACACAGTCGAAGCCGACATATGTGCCTTCCATTATTGTTGACGTCGGCAACATAGCGGGGCACATGGACATTTCAACTGGTCGTATCATGGCTGGCATGTTTGCTCGGCTTATGCAAGCTGTGAGTGGTGAGCCGCTTTCGGAAAAGAAAGTTGTAGTACCCGAACCGACAGAAGCTGGAAAGAATTCCGCTAGTAGTCTCGAAGTCTCTGTTAAGCATATTGCGATATCGTGGCTGGAAAACATCTTGACAGAGTCTTTCCAAGAAGGATCAGTCGCGAACCAGCAACTCGATCTCAAACCGATGGATGCGATTCTGAGGATCAATCTTTCAGCAATACATCTCAACAGTCAGAGCAGCGGCTCTACTGCACGGTCACAAATCCGGATCGGTAAATTCGTGCTCGCATCCTTGGATAACGATATCATTTCTTTCCGCAGTTCACGACCAAGATCCAGACGCTCAGCCAATGTCATGCCAGAACAGCCCAGCCATGACATAGAAGTTGAGATAGAGCAGGGCAAAGACACTCGCATCACCGTCGTTACACGACCTGTCAAAGTCATGTTCGATATTCAGAAGCTGGACACAGCGCTCGGTTCTTTCGGAGGTTTTAGTGGCATGCTTGAATTGAGCAGCTCTATAAATTCGACTAGCACCGTTCAGAGTCCAGTCATGTCTCCAGCACGCCCTCGTCCCCGTGGCGTCCATTTCGGTGATGGTTTGCATCCGCCCGTCAAATCACCGCCACCAGCTGCAAATCCTCCTAAGATCCAGGTCCAATTCGGAGAGGTCTCCTTCACGCTCAAGGGGAAGGCATGTTCTATGCAACTGCAGACGACATCCGTGCGAATTGCTGTACGGCAAAGCAACGTGCGTCTCAAGGTTTCCGAGATCCAGCTCTCTGGTCCCTACACAGAAGAGACCAGTAAAACTGCACCTTTCGCTGCAGAAATGAAGGGCACTACGGTCAGTTTCCTTTTCGAACCCGAAGAGACCGACTTAGCGAGACTGATCTCCCTGATCACGCCATCAAAGAATCCTTACGAAAACAACGACGACATTCTAATCGAGACACTACTGCGCCAGCGCAGGAAGGGCTCAGTGCTCCGAATCGAGACCAGCGAAGTCGGAATTTGGGTTTCGGATATCCAAGAACTGAGGACGTTGGAAAGTCTTGGTGTAGAGCTAGCGCGGTTGTCGAAGGTCACAAAATACCTGCCGGACGACGATCGACCAGGCCTTCTCAGCCTTGTATCAGTGAAGCAGCTGGACGCCCGGGTCATGGTGAATGAGAAGCTTGGTAACGTGTCTGTCATTCTGCGAGAGGCTGCACTAGCACAAATTGGTGTTCCGGCTTTGCTGGCTGTTGAAGTTGGCAATGCAACTGTTAGTAGGGAGACCGAAGTGTTGATCCACGAAGTGGTCAAACTCCGCCCATCGGAACAATTACCTGTCATCATGCTAAGAATGGTGGGTGATGAGATGGAGCCCATGGCGAAGGTGAAGTTTTTCAACCTCTGTGTTGAATACCGAGTCAACACTATTATGGCAGCCTTAGGGATATCTGAGGATGGCACGGTTGACAGTCTTGCTCAGGGCCTGGCATCGAGCGTCGCAACTATCACAGGTGTCTCTCCGCCCCAAAGCCTTAGTCGACAATCCTCCCAAGTAAGTTCGCCTGCGACAGCCACTCCTCAGCCGCTACAGGTCGACCTGCTGCTGAGGAATTGCGCAATTGGT